CTTCCTCTCTCTAAAATCAATAAAGATATATATATATATATTTTTTAAAAACCACAAAAAACAAAAAAACCAAGGTTGAATGAAACTGCTTTGCTGAGAGTAGGCGTGGAGGGAAAGGGCCACAGATGGCCCCGCGTCCCGGAGCGTGGGTAACAAACGAAGAACCGGCAGAGGGGCCAGCTGGGGCCGGAGGGGGACCTGGCAGAGCTCCGCCGAAGTCACAAAGTGCAGAGAGAAGGCCACGGGCAGAGGGCTAGGGGCCGCCCGAGGCAGACAGAACCGCGGTGGGTGTGGGGGAGGTGAGCCTCGGGCCGGCGGGGGGGGAACAGGCCTCGCGCCGACGCAGGCAGAAGGCGGCCGGCGCACCCTCCCCTCCCCTCACCGCCGCCTTCCCTCCCCAGGTGCCCTGGGATGACCTCCGCTACCTCTTTGGGGAAATCATGTACGGGGGCCACATCACGGACGACTGGGACCGCCGGCTGTGCAGGACCTACCTGATGGAGTACATCCGGGCGGAGATGCTGGAGGGGGAGATCCACCTGGCCCCGGGGTTCCAGATCCCCCCCAACCTGGATTACAAGGTGAGGAGAGCTTTCCCAGCCACGGGCCCCGGGTTAACCCTGAGCTCGCTCTGTGACGCGCGGTGACAGAGGCTAAGGCCCCCGCCCCCGGCCCTTCTCAGGGTTACCACGACTACATCAACGAGAACCTGCCCCCCGAGAGCCCCTACCTGTACGGCCTGCACCCCAACGCGGAGATCGGTTTTCTGACGGTTACCTCCGAGAAGCTGTTCCGCACCGTCCTGGAGATGCAGCCCAAGGAGACGGACTCGGGCGCCGGCACCGGGGTGTCTCGGGAGGAGAAGGTGGGGGAGACTCCCCATCCGCCCCGGCAACAGGGGAGGGCAGGGCCCGAAACCCGGGGTCACGAGAGGTGCACGCCGATTCGCAGCAGCCCCTCGGAACCTGTTAGCAACCCCAGACCTCGGAATCAGCAACTCCGGGGGACGCTGCAAGCTCGCCGTCGGGTCCCGGAGGGGCGCTGGCGCGGCTCACGGGCCTCAGGAGGGGCAGGGGGCCCCCAGGTGGTCTGGCAGGGTCCCCACGGCCTTCTGAGTTCACTGGCTGCGCCCGAGGGAGCACCTGCCGGTCCCTGACCGCGCCTCCTGCGCCCCGGAGGCCCTGGGAGAGCAGCCTCGGCTCCTACGGGCAGTGNGGAGCACCTGCCGGTCCCTGACCGCGCCTCCTGCGCCCCGGAGGCCCTGGAAGAGCAGCCTCGGCTCCTACGGGCAGTCCCCCCAGAGGAGCGTAGCCGAGGGCAGCGGGCAGACCCCAAGAACACCCACGGCCACTGAACAGCTCTGAGGAGGGATAAATCCTCAGCCACCTGGGCTACCTCCGCCGTGGCGGGCGCTATGTGCCCCTTTGCGCTTTGCAACGCATCCTGGGCGAGTTCTGTTGAAAACCAGCTAAGCCGTGGGCTTCCCGGTGAATGGAGCAAACTCTCGACTGGAAGCCCCTCGGCCCTGGTCTAGTGATTGAAACCAGAAGCCCACTGATGGCCGGGCGATGGGCCCGACCGCCGTGTGGGCCTCTCCTCGCGGTCCCGGCAGACAGTCGGCAGGGAGGACAGGGTCACATCACATCCCACGACCCCCGGGCGATCCCACGGGGAGGAAGCTGGTGCCTGCCTGTGGGTATCCGGCTGGGGTGGCCTGATGCTACCCTGACCGCGGCCACCTGGCCTGGACAATGGGGCCAGGACTCCCCTCCCCTCGCCAGCTGTGGTCCGGTTTTTCCGGGGGCTCCGTCTGTCTTTGTTCCCAGGTTTGGGGCTGTGAAGGGGAACAGGCTCCCTGGGGGGAAGGGGCCGCGCAGGTGGTGACCGGGCTGCGGGCACTGACCCCCAGGTGAAGGCCATACTGGACGAGATCCTCGAGAAGATCCCGGAGACATTCAACATGGCCGAGATCATGGCCAAGGCGGCCGAGAAGACGCCCTACGTGGTGGTCGCCTTTCAGGAGTGCGAGCGAATGAACATCCTCACCAACGAGATGCGCCGCTCACTGAAGGAGCTGAACTTGGGGCTGAAGGTAAAGGGATTATGGGCCACCTGGGCCCAGACACGTGACACAGGGACCTGGCTCGCCACCAACGTGCCATCTGGGCCCAGGGACGTGACGTGGGAATCGGGCTGGCCGACTCACCACCTCAAATGCAGAACCACCAAGCACCTCAGGCCACGGGACACCCCTCGGCATTGCCCCCCATTCCCTGGTCTGGAGCTGTGGGCGTCCAGAACCGGCCGTGGAGGTCATGTGGACTGTTCCCGGCAGGAGGCACTAGCATGGCCTCTTAGGACGTCTGCAGAAGCGCCTCGGTGCCCCACACCCCGTGTGAAAATGCGTTCTCAGGACACACGTGGGCGGTGCTCCCCCGCCTTGCCCAGAGCCCGTGAAACAAGGCCCGTGACTGACGGGGTCTGCTCCACGCCGAGGGGCACAGCCTGGGGCCCCAGCACCTGTCTGTCCGTCCCTTAGGGGGAACTGACCATCACGACTGACATGGAGGACCTGTCCACGGCCCTGTTCTACGACACCGTGCCCGACACGTGGATGGCCCGGGCCTACCCCTCCATGTTGGGCCTGGGGGCCTGGTACGCCGACCTGCTGCTCCGCATCCGGGTAAGGATGGGGTCCCCGGGCCTCAGGAGCATGGCTGTGAGGGGCAGTGTGTCCGTGAAGGGGAGCTGTCCCACCAGATGTCTGGGGGCCCCACTGTCCCGACCTTTGTCAGAGCAGGGCCAGAAGGACCTGGTCCCCCACCCAGACACCCAACAGCGGGGGCCCTTCCCCCTGAAGGGAGAGAAGAGCAGGCTTCAGGCAGTAGCAGCATCCGCAGACACAGTGCTCTCATCACCTGGGCTCCGAAAGCTCAGGCCCTGGCCCGTGTGGCTCAGTGGTCAGAGCATCGGCCTGTGGACTGAAGGGTCCCGGGTTCGATTCCAGCCGAGGGCACGTATCTGAGTTGCAGGCTCGACTCCTGGTCCCTGCTGGGGTGCGTGTGGGAGGCAACCAATCGATGTCCCTCTCACATTGATGTTTCCATCTCTCCCTCTCCCTTCCTCTCTCTGAAATCAATAGAGATGTTCTTAAAAAAAAAACAAACCCTTCGATGTTAAAAATCCAATGCTAAGTATGAATTTTAAATCGGGAAAATTACATCCAGGCTTTAAGCACTGTTTAAACACTGTGTGTTCTTTGGCTCGCCTTTTAAAAAACTCCTTTTCAATTTAACATATGAGCAAACCTACGTGTGTCCCCTCATGTGAAACGAGCGACGGGAAGCTGCGTCGCGGGCTGAGCTCCCGTAGGGCCCCGGTGCTCCGCTGAGAGGCCGCCTTCCCTCGCAGGAGCTCGAGGCCTGGACCACGGACTTCGCCCTGCCCACCACTGTGTGGCTGGCCGGCTTCTTCAACCCCCAGTCCTTCCTCACGGCCATCATGCAGTCCATGGCCAGGAAGAACGAGTGGCCGCTGGACAAGATGTGTCTGTCGGTGGAGGTGACCAAGAAGAACCGGGAGGACGTGACCGCCCCCCCGCGAGAGGGCGCCTACATATACGGGCTCTTCATGGAAGGTAAGGGGGTGGCGTCCGCCTGCCTGGAGACCAGCTCTTGGCAACCACAGGCCGTGTGTGCTGGGGGGCTGGGGGACAGGCACCCAGAGCAGCCAGTCAGCTCGCAGCTGGCTGCACACCGTGGCAGAGTTCTGAGAACACGCTCAGACGGGGGTCCGAGGGGGCAACGGGCAGGCTCACCCTTGACGTGAGCACCTGCTTCAAGGTGAGCTCAGCCCTCCCAGGCCTGGGCGCAGGGAGCCCAGGACAGGTGTGCGTTTGATAGGTGAGGGGTGAGGGTCCCGGAGCCCCCATCCAAGTCCCACCCCCTCTCTGAGCTGCTGCTGCCCTGGGCGCAGGTCTTGAGGGAAGGGAGGCCTGGCTGTCCACCTTCTCTGGGCCTGATGCCCGGCCACCCGAGGGGCCAGGAATGAGCAGCAGGAGGGGAGAGGCCCCCAGACACCACCCTGTCCGGCCCCAGGTGGGGGGCAGGCAGGACGGCCGGGCAGGCCGTCTCCTCAGCTCCACTCCTGAGTGCCAGCTACTCCACCACATACGTCTGTCCTGCTCAGCGAGTGAGATGGCCCCTCCCTGCTGGGGCGCCCGGGCCCCCCATTCCCACATCACACAGACCAGCACAGCGGCAGGCATCCTCCATGTTTATTACGGAATCACAGAGAGGAAACATAAACATCACTAGACAGGGCAGACTAACAGCAGCCTGGCTCAGGGCAGCAGCTCCACGAGCATACATACGGATACACTGCACGTGCGCACGGGACAGGCATCATGTATGTATGGATATGCTGCACGTGTGCACGGGGACAGGCACCATGTATGTATGGATATGCTGCACGTGCGCACGGGACAGGCATCATGTATGTATGGATATGCTGCATACGTGCGCACGGGACAGGCACCATGTATGTATGGATATGCTGCATACGTGCGCACGGGACAGGCATCATGTATGTATGGATATGCTGCATACGTGCGCACGGGACAGGCACCATGTATGTATGGATATGCTGCATACGTGCGCACGGGACAGGCATCATGTATGTATGGATATGCTGCATACGTGCGCACGGGACAGGCACCCTGTATGTATGGGTCGCGCTGCATACATGTGCGTGGGACAGGTGTCAAGTATGTATGCATCGCACTGTGTACACAGGACAGACACAATGTACATGCACAGGACAGACGGCAGGGGGGCAGGGAGCCGGGCTCCCGTCCCCTGGAAGTCTCCGGAGCACTGGGTGCCGGCGCTGAGATAAGGCTGCGGATGAGGCTCTGGAGCGTCATGGTGTGAATGGTGGGGCCGAGCACACGGGCGAGCTGGGCCGTCCACGGTGGGCTGCGGGCAGTCACACAGCCCCCGGCGGCGTCCCGTTCACAACTCCATCTCCAGCAGTTCCTGCGCCCTGGCACCTGGCACGTGCGCTCTGAAGCAGAGCCGGGCGGTGGTTTCGGGCGTGAGGCCAGGCTCTCCCTTCCGGCCTTCCCCTCGCTCACTGCCAGCTGTCCCTGCAGGAGCTCGCTGGGACACACCGACCGGAGTCATCGCCGAGGCGCGGCTGAAGGAGCTGACGCCCGCCATGCCTGTCATCTTCATCAAGGCCATCCCTGTGGACCGCATGGACACCAAGAACATCTATGAGTGCCCCGTGTACAAGACGCGCATGCGCGGCCCCACCTATGTCTGGACCTTCAACCTGAAGACCAAGGAGAAGGCATCCAAGTGGGTGCTGGCGGCCGTGGCACTGCTCCTCCAGGTCTAGCTTGCCCCCCGCCAGACCCGAACCACAAGACAGAGGTGACAAAGAGGGATCCCATCCTGGGACTAGGACTGACTTTTACAGGCACTGAGGTTGCTGTCTGCTCTGAATAACCAGGGCTGATAGAGCCGTGCGCATCTGACCAGCCAGACGGCGGAGGGCGCATGGAAGGGGGTGCAGGTTGGATTAAACACAGTCACTGTGCCTGTCTGAGTCACCTGAGCCAGTCTTCAGCGCCACACCTGGTGGCCACCAGGGCCTGCACAGGCTTGTGGACCAGGCCCCAGTTCCCAGCAGTCAGGGCACGTGTCCCAGGAACTAAATCCCCGAGTCCTGCCCTCCCAGGAGGGCCAGCGTAGCGGGAGGGCTAGAATGTGGCAGCCACGCCCCAGGCCTGACGGTACAAGCTCAGGGCCCACCAGTGAGGGGCAAGTGTTCCCTCGTAAACAGGAGCTGCCGCCTCCACACCGTTCCCTAGAGCAGCACCGATCCCCTTCTCTGGATGAGCACCTTCCTCGGTTACGGCAATGCCCTCTCCACACACCGGTGCCACGTCCACGAGCTGAAGTACATCCCCATCAACCGCCACGTCCCGAACTCCCTGGGAACAGGACACTGAGCATGGACTCGGGGGCCCCACACTGGGCAGCGTTTTCACCTGCCCTCATCGCCATCTGTCTTGCACTCTTGGTGTCTGTCCCCAGCAGCCTAATTCACAGTGTGGAGGAGCAGGAGAGGGTCATGGCGCCGGTCAGAACTGCCCTACAACAGCCCAGGATGCTCCACAGCAGCCCAGGGCCCTGCTGTGGTGCTGATCCTGGGGCTGCCCGGGGACACGGGGCCCTGTCTAACTGGTGGGGGTTCCTATCGGCCACCAGAATTGTCTCAGCAGAATGAAAGCAGCGAGCCGCAGTCCTGTCTGACTGGGGGCCGTGCTGACGCAGGACATTCCAGCAGGGGCTGGGCGGCCACTGGAGGCGGGCTGGGGCAGTGGGAGGCAGACGAGAGGAGAAAGCTGGAAAGCGTTGGGAACACGGGAGGCAGCTAGCAGGGCCCACGATCTCCAGCTGAGACGGACTCCAGAGGGCCCCCAGGCTGGCACCTGATGTGATGTGTTTAGGCTTAAAAGCAGAGGAAGGCAGCCCCCTGGGAACATCTGGCCCAGTTTTATAAAAAATTTTTTCCAAGGACCTTACCGAAACCTTGCTGAAGAGGGGGTCCTGGAAGCCCTAATTCACAACAGCCCTGGGGCCGGTGGGGCTGGGCACAGGGAGCAGGAAAACATCCCTCAGCCCCCCCTCCCTGGGGCCCAGAGGATGGGCTGCAGCCAGGAAGGCAGGAGTTTGGGCCAAGGAACCTGGATGCCCAGCAACCACCTCTGCTGGCCAGGAGGGGTCACTGCAGCCTTTCACATCCAGGCCGCAAGGGCCGGGTCCCTCTGGGACAGGAGGAGATAAAGGGGCCAGTGGCCACCAGGCAATTCGTTTTCAATCCCCAGTAATAACTACAAAATGGGAAGGTTCTCCAAGTTTGCCTTTGGAGCCTGAAATAGTGATTTACTCCCCTACATACTGTGGGGAGCCGACAGTTATCACCAACCTTCCCAAGATGCTTCACCTCTGGGTGCGGTCGGTGACAGGAAAGCAGGGGCTGGGCAGACCTGCCGTGCATCTGAAAGTGCCCTTTCTGCACCTGGCCCCTGCGCCTGGCTGACCAGGAAGGGGAGTCCGGGAGCTGAGGTCTGGGGAGACCTGCCAGGACTATCTGGAAGGTAATTAGCAGAGACAGAGGGAGTGGCCTCGGAGAGAGCAGGCGGGGGTTGCTCAAGCAGGGCTGTGGCTCCTGTTTGCTCTGGTCCCACAGAACCTGCAGGAATGCGACCGCTGTTTACTGAAAGCCTCTCTCCAAACAGAAACCCAGGGCCCGGCACATTCTTTTGGTTTCTCTGGCCTAATTGTCCCACAAGACAATTTAGTAACTAGCTGGAAGACAAACAGCATTAACTGATGTGCTGCGGCCCCAGGGCAGTGTGGCTACCACCACATCCCACCTCCCAACCCTGCAAGCCGCCTGGCCCTAGGGGCTCAGATGCCCTTGGTCTACACTAGTCACCCCCAGCACTGGAGCCGCCCCATGCACAGGCCTGTTCGGGCTACGCCAGCCCCATCTTCAAGGACCCGAGAGCTGCCAGCCCTCGGGAGGGAGCCATGATGCCCCACCTCACCCCAAGCCCGTCTCCGTGCTAGTTCCAGCCCCTGGAGGTGTGCCGTCTGGGCATGAGGTCTGCAATCTGTTCCTGCAGACACAGGGGAGGGGCACCTGGCCTTTTCTAAATACCCACGACATGGGAAAAGGTGACACAAAAATGCTTTAAGTGAACCCAGTAACAATGAGGTTCTTTCTTCAACAAGTTTCAGGTGCCACGTCCCCAATCACAAGGTGTGGACCTTATCTAGACCTTGAGTCAAAGGCAGTAAAAAAATTACATGAAATAAAAAATACACTTTCTGGGTATCTGATGACACTACAGAATTCTTGCTAATGCTTTAATCAGGTAAGATACTGGTAGGATGTTTGGGGGTCTTGGGGTTAGTCTACATATTTTAGGGTGACCAAGGGAACCTATGCTGTAAACACAGACCCCAACACTGGAAAACACCCGGCACTCAGCCCATCATTCTCATCTTTGACTCCTCACTCTCCCTTCCCCACAAGCCAAAGGCCCAAATTCCCACCCCTGACCCCCAGCGTGGCCAGAACAAGTGGAGCCCAGACTGATCCCACATGGGCCCAGCCGGGGGTGAAGTCAGGGTTTTAGCGGATCTGGGGAGAGACCCCACCCCTAATGGTAGCCGCACCCTGCCCGGCCTCCTGGCTCCTGGATAGCTTTACATCACCAACGGCAGGCTCCTTCTGGTGGGCAGAGCGTGTCCTGTCACCAGCTGTCAGCGTGGGGAACATCGCACCTCTATAGACGCACGTCATAGAAGCACAAGGAGACGGGGCCACAGTCCCAAGGCCTAGTGCCTACGATCTCATCCTGGCAAGTCACAGCTGGCCAGGGCAGCGAGCCAGAGCCCTCCCGAGCAGAGCGCTTCCTCCTCCCACCCCCTAAACCAGGGCTTGGCTTTGAGAAGGGGAACACAGAATCTACCTGTGTCCCCTCGGTCACTAGGCCCTTGCCCCTGGGACACTGACCCCGCCAGGGCCGGCGCTGAGAGAGGTGCCTGATGGAGGGGAAAGGGCTGCCTCATTTAGCATCAGGCTTTGAACACTAATGATAACCGTCCATGACCCGAGACACACACACTCGTATGTAACGATGAACAGACGCGAGCCCTGGGCTCCTGCGAGAGGCCCGGGAAGCCCGGCCGGGGGAAGGACCACCGGCGCACAGTGACCTCTGGGGAAGCACGCGGGTTGGCAAGGAGGCAGCACCTGCGGTCCTCAGAAGAAGTTCTTAATCAACGGGGTCACCATCTTCACCCACAGCTTCACATGCCGACTCGGCTGCTCGAAGGTGGCAGAGGACACCACGCCTGACCTCAGGTAGAGCTGCTCCTGCTCCTGAGGAAGACGAAGAAACGGCAGTTAGGGGTCTCCGAGCACCGGCCTCACGCGCTGCACGGCCCGGCCCAGGCGGGGGGCTGCAAGTTCCCTGCACAACGTTCCCTAGAAAAGCTACGAAGCCTGTGTTTCTAAACTTTTAAGACCTAGATGTGCATGGAACAGGCAATTCAGAGGCGAAGAAATACAGCCGGTGGAAAAAACATTTAAAAGTTCACCCTCACTAACTGAGGTGCTGCCCACAGAGGATTATTTTTTAAATGAGACATAGCTTTTTTCCTCAAATCAGCAGAAACATTTGTAGCATCACCACCAGAGCCGACAAAGGCCCAGCAGGAGGGCGCGTGGCACACCGAGGGAGAGGGAGGTGTCTGGGCGGCCACCATGGCGGCCTCAGCCTCAGAGCCTCAGAAGCTGCACTCGCAGGACTTCCCAGTAACTGCACTCAGCACGGGACTCAGAGCGCGCCCCAGTTATCACAGCAGCACTCAGAACAAGGAAAACCTGGAAACCACCTAAGTGCCCAACGACCAATTAATCATAATAAACCCTGAGGCAAACCAGCTCTCCATGCGGTGACCATGTTCTAGAACATTCATTTAGCAACAGGGAAAAGTGCACGATATATGAAGCGAAAGATGCACGTGAAATAACGTAAACCATGTGATCCTAATTTCATTTAAAAAAAACCCACCAGTCCTACCTCTGTGTGTGCACACAGGACAAAAGCTGGGGACTGATCACTATTTCAGGAGTTCCCTCTGGACGAAGGGCTAGTGTCTTCTAATTTTTCCAATGAACGTTTATTACTCTCAGACTTAAAAATGAGTTAAGAAACACTTTTCTAAGCCTTGTTATGAACTGTGTTTGACCAGTGGAGGAGGAATGGTCTCTTAACCCACACACGTCCACGTGCTGTTTGCCTTCGCAGGGGCTGAGGTCCCTCTCTGGACGTAACGTCCCCTTGCTGTCAGCTGCCCCTGACTCACACTCCTACCGGGACCCAGCAGCCACAGCTATGAAGTGCCCTGTCCACTGTGGGACCAGCAGCACCAGAGAAAACGCTGCTCGGGAGCAGAGCGCTCTCCCCTGGGGGTCAGGAATGAAGGCACGTCCCTGGCAAGCTCCTCTGACCCAGTATGAAGGGACAGGCCACCTTGCCCTGCGGAGCACTGCAGACCTGGTCCCAGCTCTTCCTGTCCAGGGCTGGGGAAACCTCAGCACGTTTTCCTCAGCTCCTGTGGCCGAAAGCTGGCTCCTGTGACCGTGGAACCTGCACTCTGGGGCCTGGGTCCCCATGACCCCGTGACCCGGGCGGACTTTCCTGTCCCAGCTGACTCTCAGGTCCTGGTGGCTGCTGTGAGAGGCCCGAGCCCTGGCTGATGAGCCTGACCGACAAAGCCAGCTTGTCTCAGGGGTCGGTCTGCAGAGGTCTCCAGACTGGCTCCAGCCTTATGTTTTTAAGTGAACATGCAGCCAAGATTTTAATTAAATTACCAGAAACACTTGGGTTTCCTCCTAGACTCCACAACGGGGATAGAGAAGGAAGTCAGCTGATCGAGGTCACAATGCTGTTCGAGGGAGTCTTTCTGGGGTTACAACTAGCAAACCGTGTTCTCTGAACAAAACCAGGAAGCTTTCAGCTTTTATTGTATGTACTAAGTGAAGGGAGGGACTTCGGGCTCCGATAAAAATATCTCCCATTCCTGGTGCTCAAAGTGACCCCAACGGGGCCCTTCCCACATCCCATGGAAAGCTCCAGAGGTGCTCTAGGCGCGGGCCCCGGGCAGCGGGGTTTCAGGGACTTTCTGGGCTGAGCAGAAGCTGTGTGGCTGAGCAGCCCCAGGATCGGGCACCAGACGGGCCTCCCTGAGGGACAGCCGCAGTCCCACAATACAAGCATATAGGTGGGATTCTCTAGAAACACATTTCTGCATCTCAGTGTGTCCCTAGAACAGAAGAGTCACAGCAGCATGGGCTGCCACCCCCACAATCGAAAGCCCTGGGGAGCCGGGTTTGGGAAGAGAAAGTATCCCAAACATGTCACTTGGGAGAGCAGCTCCCGACCACAACCGGTCCAGCTTCTCTCGAGAACCAGGATGTGGGCTCAGTCCCTTTTCTCGGGAAGTGGGGGTGAGGAGCCAGTCCCAGGGCCCGGGGTGCAGGCGGGGGGGATGCTCCCCCAAACCAGCCTAGAGGGCTTGTCCTGGCCGGAGGCCAAGTTCACACTAGGGACTCTCTACTGTCTAGGGCAGAACCTCCCGGAACGAGCATCTGCACAGCGGAGGCAGATGTCCAGGACAGTGAGCTGAGAGCCGCAGGTCGGGCGCTTCCCACCAGCCACCCCCTGCTGGACCCTCGGCTGCAGGGACTTCCTCAGTCTCTGGCTGGAAGCCTCCCCGCAGCCAGAAACCTGCTGAGGTCAGATTCTCCGCTGGCCACCCAGAGCGTGACCGCTGCCACTTCCTCTCGCCCCTGGTTGCGGAGCCCTTCCCGGCACCAAGGCCCCACTCAGTCAGATGGGATTCCCAGATCGAGGGAGGCAGATCCCAGGGAGCAAGGCCGAGACCGTTTCCTCCCACCCACAAAGGCTCCAGCGATTATGCAACAGTACTTCCCACCCCCAGAGGGTAAAAGCCCCTCAGGGCCGCCAGCCGGGCCTGGCCCAAGCTGCGCGCTGGCGGTGCCCCACTCGGGAGGAACACTCGCCTCCCAGGGAAAGGCTTTGCTGAGCAGGCCTCAAAGGCATGAGCCCGAATCCCTGTCCAGGTTTCAGACACACAGCACCGTGCTCGCATTCCCCAAAGTCTACCGGAGTCTACCTGCAATCAGATGTTCTGACGAGAGCAGGAATGAAGCCCCAGTAACCTCGCTATGCTCTGCCTTACACAGAAATAAGCCCATCACGCAGGGAGGGCTGAGACCATGCACAGGCACCATCTGTGGAAATAGCCGGGAGGCGGCTCCCCTGGCCCTGCGCACACCCCACCTCCAGACCCTGCACACCCGCCATGAGGAGTCCTGCTCCTGGCCTGGCACACCTCCAGGTATCAATCCCAAACCAAGGCAAGTGAGACAACCACCAAGTGAAGCAACTCCGAAATAAACAGAGTCCACGCCGTCAGTGCAAGAGGACTGACTCGGGGCATGGAGATGAGCGAGCGGGACTGTCAGAGCCTGGGAATTGCTCAGCCCCCATGAGTCCCTTGCACTGCACACCCATGTCTGCAGGGGCAGCCTCCTTTCTCTGGCCTCCCCCTCTCCTAGCAGACACTGCCCCGTGTGCAACCCTCCGCCTGGGGGCACCTCCCCCTGCCTCTCCCTCCCCACTCTCTGGAAGCATTTTTCCAGAAACAACAGGGTGCTGCCGAAGCTCCTCCCTAAGGGCCAGGTCCCCCACAAGCCTGGCTCCTCCCCTCACAGCTCCCACAGCTGGGCCACACTCCTGGAAGAGGTAGGAAGCAGCCATATGCCATCCCAGGGAGAAGTGTCCTCTCTCCTCCAGGAGGCAGCTGCCTGAGCTGTGGGTCTCTCTTGGCACCAGCACCCCTGCCACTGCCGACTGGCAGGACCCCAGTGCTTCGTCACTGCTCTCAGGAAACCATGGCAGGGGCAGGGCCGAGCACCAGCTACACCCCCACTCACCCCACGAAATCCCAAGTGCTCAACCCACCTGGTAAAGCTGCTGCTGCAGGGCCTGGCTCTCCGTCACGATGGCAATCTGGGCCTCCAGGTCCCGGTGGACTGACCTGTACCCAAAATTAGGAGAGCCAATCAACGTGAGACAGGGCAGGTTGCTCCCTGCCAGGTAGAGCCAGAGGCCTGTAGGGAAAAGGAAATGTGCAGACAGGAGTGAGCACAACACTGTAGAGGCCGCTCCACATGTCCTTTCAACCTAGGAGAAAAGCAGCCCACCCTGGCCCCTGGGAAGACAGGCTGCGGGGCAGGGGGGTGGGGGGTCCCTAACCTAGGCCTGATCTCCACCCAGCCCCAGGTGTTGCTGGGAGGTGCAGGGACCTTGGGGTCTGTGGTGGCCAGGCACCCTCCCACTCCAGGTAGCTCGCTAGGACGGTCCTTGTTCTTTCTGCCTCACTGCACCCTGCAGCCTCGCTTCCCCAGCCTGACGACAGGTGCGTTCTTAAAGGGACCAGGTGATGCCCACACTCAGGCTCGGCTCCCACATCCCCACGCTAACCAGGGCCTCTCCCAGAGCCCAGAGCCTCGAGTTCCTGCTCCCTGAACTGTCTCTGCCACAGCCCAGCCACTGGAACTCAGCCCCCTGTGGCCGAAGGTGCCGCCATCCTGCCATGAGTCTTGAGGGAAGGAAGCCACGCAGTGCTGACGGAGCAGGCTAGGGAACAGCAGGCGGGGCTGCTATGTGGGTGATGAAGGTGAGGTAAGGACAGGTTACCCCATTCTGCGTCCACCTGAAGACCAGCAGACCATTCCCTCCAAGGGACACATAATTCTCCCTATGTCGCTCTGCTAACGTGCCGCAGACAAAGCCCAAACAGGCATCAGAAGTGAGTCCCTGCTGAAGCTCAGGGATGTCCAGGCCAGACAGTAAAGCCCACTGGAGGCCAAGGGAGAGGATCTCAGAGGCCCTGGGAGGCCACCCCAACCGAGAACACTGCTTCCCCTTTTCCCTGAAACGAGCCACTGACGTCACTCTCGGGGTACCGTCACAGCACCCTGGCCCTGTGATAGGGAGCTGGTTTGTCCCCCACCCTGGGGAACTGCAGTCTCTGAGAACACCAGGGTGACATTCTGAAGGCCGTGGACTCCCTCAGAACCTGCACTGTCACACGAAAGAGCACAGGCAGGGCCCCTGCTCTGCACCGTTCCCCCATCCTGCTTCCTCCCCGAGTCCAGCCCATCAGAACTACTCCTAACAGACTATTCCCCAAACCTGCCAAGGACCTCAGCTGCCCGGGACTTCCTTCCTCCTTCAGAGCAGACCCGGCCTGTCTCTCCCTCCGCACTGCGCCCTCACTCCACCAAGACTGCTCAGCCCAGAAACCCCAGCCTGAGTCAGTGTGGCTGTGCCGCCCGGGCTCCGGGGCGCCCTGCTCGCAGCCGTCTCCTTGTGCCCTCCCGTCCCCCCTCGGTAACCTCCTCTGCCAACATGACCTTTCGAAGGACCTGCTTCCATACATGATCATCACAAGCAATCAACATGTAACACACACCAGGCTCCTAAAATAGAAGGCCATTTCCTAATTCTCACTCGGGCAACAGCATTTCCAAGAACATCTTGGGTAAGAGATGACGATGTTTGCTGCCTCTTCCTGTAATGTTCTTGACCCTACACACACACACACGCACACAGGGGCCACATCAAAGACACTCGCTTGCCTGTATAGCTCCATCAACTGTCCCACCCCACTGGGCCACTGCACTGTAGCAGCCACGTGGCTACTTTATCCCGTGTCAGAGACCACAAGGCGGCGAGGCTGGCCCTGGACCCTGCTCCAGGTGCCCAGGGGGTCCAAGCAAAGTGCTGGCTTGTCCTCTGCACCTACACCAGGTTCAGACCTCCAGCCCACCACCCACACAGCCTGGAGCTGGGAGGGACAGGTGAGGCACAGGTCGTCACCAGCCTCAGAAGAAAATGCATGAGCCCAGCCGGCATGCTCAGTGGTTGAGCATCGACCTAGGATCCAGGAGATCGTGGTTCTCCCTGTCAGGGCACATGCCCGGGTTACAGGCTTGATCCCCAGCAGGGGGCGTGCAGGAGGCAGCTGATCAATGGCTCTCATCATTGATGTTTCTCTCTCTTCCTCTCTCCGAAACCAATAAAAATATATTTTTTTAAAAAAAAAGGCATGAGCTCTGGCCATCTGCCATTACAGTCCCAACTCTTCTGATGCCAAGAGCAGCCCCTAGACACTGGGTCCACTCGGTGCTTCCTGTCCCCTGCTCTCCTGCGCCCACTCAAAGAGGGACAGGTGAAGGTGAGGAAGAGGGAGACTGAGGCCCATGCAGGTGACATGGGTTATGGCTGATATGACTCATGCCACCCTGACCGTCCATGCGAGGCTCCTGGGCCACAGGGTCTGCTGGGGACAGTTAAAGGGCCTGGTCCTACGGGTACTTTTTATTTGAAAAACCTGTGTGACCAAGTGGATCTCTCCCTCGCAAGGCAACCTAGGGCTTGGCCGTCAAGGCAGGCAGCCTGCTGCCCACCCACCCCGACAGGTGCCCCACATGCATCTCTGCTTCTCAAACTGTTCTCACTACCAAGCCCCCAAAGAAGCCTTTATAGACTCATTTCTCCTAACTGCCAGCCACCCCCCAAAACAAAATTGTTATCACGATTACCCTGTCTGCGCACTGTGTGCGCCTGTGCACAGTCACACTGTCTGAGGCCAGGGTCTCCGGCACCCTCCCAAGAACCCAGGAGAGCAGGATCCACACCCACTCCCTGTCTCCTCTCCCTGCCCCTGCTGCCTCCCTCGGGCCCAGGCTGGACTGCAGGTGAGCTCTTGGGATTACACAGGTAGCTCAACTGTCATTCCAGCTTCCCCTGGAGTGTAACTTCACTGCGGTCCTTCTCCCTCAGAAGATAAAGACCATGGATGGTGCCGGGCGGCCTCCCGGTGCTGGTGCCTAGAGCCTGGAACAGGGTCCTCCTAGGCCAAAGCTCGCCAGTAAGGAGAGACCAGCTCTGCTCTGCGCCCTGACTGTGGCTTGAAAATGCTCGCTTGGGGAAGGAGAGCGAGAGGCCACTGAGCTGTTTCATCCCTCGGGTCAGGAGCACTGGGTGACTGCAGACAGACTCACTGCCAGGAAACAGGCACTTCCCAGCGGCCAGAAACCTGTTATCAAGCCCAGCTCCTCACCCCAGGCCTGACCTTTGGGCCCCACATCTCCGAGATTCCGGGAACTGCAGATTAGGGAGCGGCTCCGCAGCTGAGGTGGGTGGGTCAGAGCGCGAGCTGGTGCGCCTGCGGCAGGGGGCAGAGGACCACTGGGCCAGAGTCCCGAGACTTCCCCTGCTTCCTGCTCTGGATCAGACGCCTGCTGCACGTTGAGGCCCCTCTTTAGAAAGGGGGACCCCTGCTCTGCTCTGCTCTTGCCTACAGTCCCTTCTCCACACAGCCCTGACTCATTCTGAGGGGGGAGCCAGATGACCCCAAGGCTCCTCGCAGCACTTACTCCATGGTCCCCGCCACAGGCCGAGCATGGCGTCAGCTTCACATTTCTGACGACCTGCACTGAAACATCACCACCTGCACGTTCCCTCAAAGCTGGCTCCCCGACGGGCCCTCCCTGACCCCCCGTCCAACAGCTCCCTGTCAGCCTGGGTCCTTCTCCTACTGTCTTCTTCGCAACCCTCCCCGCCACCTGATATTCTGTCTGATCAGATTCATCTGCCCCTCACTGAACCATAAGCCTCAGGAGGGCAGGAGTCAGTCTGTCCTGCCCCCGGTGCCCTGAACGCCGCCTGGCTCACAGCAGGCACTCGGCACACAGTCTGAACAGTGAGGCTCCTCCAACACTGGTGAGTGGATTAAGCACAGCCTTCCTTGAGGATCACGCCGAGGGAAATTCTAACTCACACACACCCTCACTCCCCTACAGTACTCTGCAATAATCTCAGGGTTCTCAGACCCCTGTGAAAGCGAGGGGGGGGTGGGAGATGTCGTGGTCCCCTCCTCAAATGGACAGCCTCACCTGGGCTTCAGTCTCAGGTGTGTGATCTGAGGCCCTGCCCCCGGAACACACCTGCCGGCTCCCAGGTGGGACATGCCCCTTGTGTGCCAGGCAAACAGGGTGGAGCCGCCCAACTGTCACTGCGAGCTCACTTGTGGGCGATGTGCCAAGCGGCCTATCGGGAAGGCAGTAAGCGTAGTGACAATTCTCACAATCATTAACAGGTTTCTGTCAGCAGGAGCCAGAGATCTCCTAATCCGGGCCTGCCCCGCCCCAGCCACACACACTGTGCTATCACTACAACATTGCCTCCAGATGAATCAAAGTCAACCTCTCAAAACTTATTTTATGTCCTTTCCCTGAAATGCACACCCACAAGCAGAGCCCGTGTCCCCCGAGTGGGTGTGGTCTCTGCTGAAGGGGCCACTGGGGCTGGGCAAGGCAGGGAGAGCAGGATGCTTCCTGCCCCCGCCTCTCGAGGCCCCCGCCCCCCCAGAGCAGAGCTGAGACGATGTGAGAGTTGAGGCCCGCCAGACCTCACACTCGTGTGGCCCCTCTGAGGCTGCTGCCTAAAGGGGTCAGTCTATTGGCACATGGATGACACAGTACTGACAACTGGTGACAAAGCCCTTCTGTGCCTGGCTTCCTGGGGCCCTCTCAACAAGGGCCAGGTTTAAAAGGAGAACCCCTGGAGGCAACCGAGATGCCCTCAGAAGGTGAAGACATAAACTGTGGCACATCTAGACGAAGGAATATTACTCAGCAGTAAAAACAAATGAGTTATAGAGTCATGGGAAGACACAGAAGACCCTTAAATGCACATTTCCAGGTGAAAGAAGCCAACCTGAGAAGGCTGCACACAGTGTGACTCCAACTACCTGACATCTGGACAAGGCAGAGCTGTGGCGACAGTAAAGAGAGAGGTGGCTGCCAGGGTCTGGCCAGGTGGGGACACCAGGCAGAGCGGGGGGTTTAGGGCAGTGAAAACACTGTGTGATGCGATCTCTGATGGCAGATGCACATCCTTTCACATCTGTCCAGACACCACCACGGTGACCCCAACGAGGACTGTGGGCTCGGGTGACACTGACGTGTCAGCGCAGGTCACCAGCTGTAACAATGTAACTGCCGGGTGCCGGGTGCTGGGTGCTGACACTGGGGAGGCTGTGCATGTGTGAGTCAAGGCAGATATGAGAACCCTCTGGACCTTCCTCTCAATTTTGCTGTGAATGTAAAACTGCTCTAAAGAAATTGTCTTTAAAACAAAAAAGGGTACAAACTTCCACTTATGAGAGAAGTGTACCCTGTGAGCTGCCACATGGAAAGTGCAGGGCCTGGCAGCTGACGCCTGCACAGATGACAGCAGACATAAAGTAAAACCCCTGGTGTCACTCAGGGGCCCTCCTGAAGAGCCCAGGGAAGTGACAGACCAGGGATCTAAGAACTGCCCGCTGACCGAGGTCTGACATGGACCCCTGACCCCAGTGGCCTCTCCAGAGGCCGAGAGGCAGGTAAGAACTGCAGCTTCATGACCCCAGGGAGAACAGCAGCAAAGCTACAGCTAGAACAAGGACGCCTCTCCTCGCCAGGGGACCCAAGACTCCCGCTGTACATCCACAGGCAGGGCACGTCCCCCTTCTTGCCTGGGTGCGATCCTGTCCCCTGGCCCCATTTTACACAGATGCCAAACTGGGCCTCACCCCTTCTGCCAAAGGTAACTGTGGCCTGAGGACCAGGCCCTGCGACTCCAAGTCTGGTCACCTCTCTGCTGACTCATGTTGACACAGGTCCCCTTAGAGTTCTGAACAGTGTCCCCTGCAGAAATCCAAATCAGAACTAAACAGGCAAACCACACTGCAAAAGAAGTCTCTAGCACATGCCTTTAAACAGGGGAAGGCTCAGCTCAATTCACTAAAAGTGACGTGTATCTAAGTCAGCTAAGAAACCAGCCAGGGAAGCCAGGGAGGCTTGCCGGTACCCAGCCCACTGACCGGCAGAGTGCTCCCAGTCTAGGTTCCCACACCATCCCAGCACGCCAGAGCCCTGGCTCAACACTGCCGACAGCAACACAGAAAACACTGCAGAGGACACCACAGCCTGTGCGGGTCACCAGCCTGAAGTGTTACCCGGCACCTGTGGCCCAGTGTGGTCACTTCCCCAGACGAGGCCGTTTCTCCCCAGCTAGCTGGTCCGCTCCCCGCGGGCAGGTGCCAAGCAGAGCTTTCTTGCATCACCAGGCTTACGGGGCCAAGAGGTTCAACACATAGTCAGTCCTCAGACGCCCAGGGGTGTGCAATGCTGGGATCCAGAAGCAGCAAACAGTAGGGACAGGCTCACTCTCCTCACCCAAGGGCTCATGGGAGCAGGAGGAGCCAAGATGGGCCCAGGCCTGTCCTTAGGAACTTGGGTAAGGGAATGGTGGTATCAGCTACTCAGCCATGGGCAATTTTCCAGGGTCCAAACAAAGACACACCCAGGCAGAAACACCACCTGTACAGGGCTTGGGCCTTGCAGAGGGTACAGTCAGTAAGTGATCCACCACCCCAATCATCTACACTCATGCCACCACCAACCACCCACACCCACATCACCACCTGGGCTGCCTGCTCATCCGACATAGGCCGTGTCTCTCCTAGGGTACTTTGGGGGAAGTGACCATCAAAAGAGAAGCCAGAAAAGGGGCCTGGCTTAAGATCCCCACTATCAATCACAGCCACTAAACAGAAGGACCCCGGCCTCTCACTAAGCACTCAGTGATCTCTGATCTCTGGCTCCTGGCTTTAGGGAGAGGCACCCTAGCCCTCTCCACGCACCCTCCCTCCCTCCCTCCTTCTTTCTCTCCCCCTCGCATGCACGTGCATGCCTGGGGATTCCTGGCCTTCCCCAGTAATCCAGTGCTCCCAGGTTGCAGGGCCCCACCTGCAGCAGGGTGGGGGGCGGGGGGCAGGGGAGGGAGTGGCAGGAGCATGCCAGTCCGGGAAAAGGCGAGACACACTGGAAAAGCCGGTTGGGTGTTTCTGTCTCAATGGTAACGGAGTCACTACCCAGCGCAGCTTCAGGGAAATAACCCACAGCACAGTCAGAACTGATGGGCCAGGTGGACCTGGGGGTCCCGAAGCAACAGGGAGCCCCTTATTGATGGGGCCAATGGGCAGAGGAGAAGCGGGCACCGTCTAGACGTGCCTCTATGCAGCACCGCAGGCATGCCCATCACCCCTGAAAGTCAAAGCTGCTCCCACGGTCCAGCTCTGTCTCCAACACCCGTCCCCTAGGCACCGCATTACTCTCAGAGTAACCAAGCCAATGCTACAGTGTTTCCTACCCCCCTCCACTGGCTGGCCAACCTGCTGAGACCTCAGCTGGAGACATGTGCTGGGATCAGAACAATGGGGCAGCTCCCTGACACAACAAGCGATGCCACCTGCCTGAGCAGGCCCGGGGGTGCTCCAAGTAGGAAGCAGGAACCACCCAAGAGGCAGCAGAATCTCCTGGGGAGTTTTTTAAAAACGCCGTGTTGAGTCCAATCCCGAGAGTTGGTCTCTGGTCTGGGGCAGCGTGGGCTTCCCACAGTGCAGCCTAGACGAAAACCACCAGTTTAGGAAAAAACAGGAGTTCAACTTGCTGATTCCAGATGATCTCAAGTCTAACAGCAAGGATGGGGGACTGCAGGTGGCAGTCTGCAACAGGGATCCCCATCTGAGGGGAGATCAAGGCAACACCACCCCTCCTCCCTTGCTCAGCTATTCCAGGAGCCTCTAAAACCAGCATATGAGCAACACGGGCTTCTGAACCACCCAAGAGAAGTGAGGAAGCCACGCACCTCACTAGTGGCACAGCCACACACTTCCCTTGTGGCACCAGGCCTTCTGCTCCACTCTCCCCCCCTTTGGACTCAGGACTGACCAAAGTGGTGGTGCGTTTCCCCAAGCGACAACTCCGCTGCTAAGCATGGTTCCACCATGTCCTGCACGTCTCGATTCTGCACCTGGGACTGTGCACGTGTGGGCCACTCTAGGGATGCAACAGCTGCCTGAGAGGGGTCCTGACAAACAGGCCACTCAGACCTGGACCCTCTCTGAGGCAGCACCGTGTACCTGGATGTTATAAGGGCATAGCCTCGATTTTTCCAGCTACACAGTGCAATGGTGAGGAGAAGACTGAAACACTGGGCTGTTTAGTACCAAATACCTGATCACTATCCATCCCTGAGAAGGGCATGACCGACGCGGGAGAACATCCAGGACCAGGAGAGACTACATTGTGCACCCTGTCATCTCTCTGTGAACAGAAGCTGTGTGTACACGTTTTGAAACAGCCACCCAATGACTCAGGTTTTAAGTTTCTGGTGCATAGGAGGGAGAGGTTTTGCATAAGTGACAGGCACATAAACAAGACAAGTGAGAGGCGCCTGCAGGGCCCTGCCAGGCAGGTGCCGGGCACGGGCATGGGCACAGGCAGAACGAGCGGGCCAAAGCTATGGGGCTGCTACCTCCGGTACCTTTGGCATGGAAGGTCCAGCCGCTGCGCGAGTACTCCTGCAGCTGGACCCGCTCCTGCTGCCCCAGGCTGCACACCTCACTGTAGAACTGCCGCTCAATGTGCACGTAGGCCGCCGGGATGGCACCCGCCACCCCCTTGGCCCCGAAGAAACCGTTCACCTCCGGGGAGGCCAGAAGGATCTGGTACTCGGCCCGCGTGCCCAGGACCAGGTCCATGTAGGCCTGGGTCAGGTTGAAGTAGCCAGTGGTGAGGTAGACCCTGGCCCCGCGCTCAGCCTCGGTCAGCAGGGTCTCGGTGACGATCTCGTCGATCTGAATCTCAAAGGGCTTCATCTGGATCAGCGGGTAGATCCAGGTGTCAGGCGCTGGCCCCCGGTCACCTGCAGCTGCTGCGTCTTCCTGGGTCACCAGGGCATCGCTGTGGAAGGTCTGGGCGTGCAGCAGCTGCTGGCGGGTGCGGGCAGAGTTGATCACATCCATGACCCGCGCGTTGGCCGCCTTGCAGTATGCAGTCCGGTCACCTGGAGGAACAGAAATGGAGGCTCTGTACTCCCACCCAGCACAGGAGACACAGCACATGACAGGCAAGCAGATGCCACAACTGATCACCACTGAACACGCTTCCACTGAGCACCCAGCACCACGGAGGTCAATGCCCAGGAAAGGGCCTTGCCCAACGGAGCCTGCACCCATTGCACTTATAAAAACCTCAACACAGGCCAGACTCATTGCGGGTGATAGAAATCAGGACAGTGGGCAGCACCTTGGGAAGTAATGCCTGGGAGGGGCTGAGGGGCCTGCTGGGAGCCAACCACAGTGAGCTCATACACAGCCCACCTGTGACACTCAGTGAGAACGTCTATCGATAAAGACACATGTAAGTTCAACCAAACAGAAGGCGTGCGAGCCACACAGCAGTTACAGATACCGGAGCAGCTGGAGCAGGAAAGCTTCGCGTGAGTGATGACGCGCAGGGAGGGCCTCCGAGGCCCTCATCTTTATTTACACAAGACCCTGGCAACAAGCAGCCGTCCAGACATGCTAATGGGCAAGAAATGACTATAAATGCTATTATTAGATGAGAAAAGACTGAAAACTAATGAGCTAAGTATCCAACTCAAGAAGTTAGGGAAAAACAACAGCAAAAGACCAAAATAGTGTAAGAAAGGCAATGACACAGGAATAAATGAGAACAGCCAAAAATGGGGATACCAACGTTGTCAAACATCGAATCTCTGAAGAGACTGATAAAAAAGCGAGCCTCTGGCAAGGCCAACCAAGAATGAGAGAGAAATGGGACACTGTCCTGGGCATCCACACGCTCCTGGCAGAGCTCGGACAGGCGTGCACCAGGGCTTCAGCTGCACTACAGACACGGGGGACACTGTCCCGGGCAACTGCGCTCCGGCAGGACTGGGATGGGCACGCACAGGGCCTCGGCTACACTAGAGGAGGGGCGGTCTACGCACGACGGTTCCTTCCTTCCCGACACTGGCAGCTGCCCTCCTGTGCTGTCTTGGGCTGAGTGTTCCTGCACTCTGGCGGCCCCTGCCGTGGGACTGCTCCTCCAGAGCCGCCCGGTCAGCCCTCCTCCCCCAAGCACACTCCGTCTCACTGTTCCCTGAGCACAAGGACCTTTTCTCCACACACTTGGGCCTGGCCTGGCCTGTTCAGTTAGACCCATGTAGGCCAATGTTTTCTGTATGGGCCAGAGAGTAAACAGTTTAGCCTCTGGGAGCCACAGGGCAAAACTGAGGATAATATGTAGTTATCAGTTTATATAACAAGAGAGAAAACAGATCTTCATACATTTGTATTGACAAAATTTAAAAAATAGTCATAACCGAGCGTCCAGGCTGGTGGAAGGCAGGGAGGCACACAGAGGCCCTGGCACAGGGACAGGGCTTCCACCAGGTACCCCCACTCAGATGTGTCCATCCTAGGTGGGGACCTGAGGAACTCCTCTCTGGGTCTGTGTTTAACCCCTTCCCCACATCCCTGACACTTGCAAATCCAGGAGCAGACCTTAGAGGCCACCAGGAAGTCTTGACCACAGGAATCGCAAGAATGCGAATACCCCGGGAATGCTAGCTGCCAGAACCTACCAATGACCGGCTGAGGGCTCTCCACTTCCCTTCCCAGGCAGGCAGCCACAGACCTCAGTGGAGCCAAGAGCCGGAGACTGTGCGACAGTGGGGAGCTGGCCCGAGGAGGGCAGACATGAGCACAGGCTTCCTGTAAGTGCAGGGTAGCTCTCCACTCACTCGCCCAGCAGCCCAGAGCCCACACTCCCACCTTCCCGTCCCAGGATGGCTCCCTCTCCCGCAGAGCATGACTGGTGGCCAGTGACTCACTGTCTGGCTCCAGTGACAAAAGCAGAACCAGGCGCTGCAGCCCAGCCTCCAAGCCTGTGGCCAGCCCCCAAGAGGCACGCTCTCCTGGGCCATCACGTCGCCCCATCCCCAGGCTCAGGGGACAGCACAGCCGGGGCTCTACCTTTGTAAGGATGCACCATGCCCTCCACCACCTGCACGGTGTCATCTCCCTGCAGCTGCAGGGACACGTCCCCCACGGCGTCCACCAGCTCCGTGAAGAAGTCTGCAATGTCAGGGCAGTCCTGCAGGAACACGTAGCGGTCCTGGCGGTTGGTGAAGTAGGAGTCACTCAGGTTGGCGCTGCAGGGAGGAGAAGCAGGTGAGGACCCAGGCAAGAGGAGCAGCAGCAGGTCCTGGCGACCAGGTCTCGGGCGAGCCAGCAGGAGCAGGGGGTGACAACTCGGACCAGGACACAGCAGCGGCGGCAGCCACGTAACAGCTGGCTACTGCGCACGACCGCTCTCAGGAGAGAGGCAAGAGTGGTACGAAGGTGACATGAGATAGTGGCCAGCAAGGCCCCTCCCGCACAGCTGACAGCTGGGAGAAGAGACGGGTCGGCCACCACCTGTCACCTGCTCGTGTTTTAGACTCAAGGACCTGGGTTCCCTCCTGGCTGCCTGAGGAAGTTACCGTCCTCTCCGATCTCTGGCTTCTCGTGTGTACAGTGAGGAAACTACTGCCTGGGTCACCGTGAGAATGTAAATGAGATACGCACGGGCCTAGCGCAGTGGCCGGCATGCATTCTACAACGAAGAGAATGTGATACCATTTTATTTACTTACTTATTTATTTTTCTTTCATTCCCATCCTCCCACCCGCTCCCCTTCGGCAGCCACCGCTTGCTCTCGGTATCCGTGGGTCAGTGTGCTGTCTTGTTTGTTCATTTGTTTTGGTTTTTAGATTCCACAGGTAAGTGAGATCATGTCCTTCTGCCTGACATCACTCGGCATAACACCCTCGGGCCCACCCACGTTGCACAGACGGCAGACTTCATTCCCTCTGCTATTGAGCAACATCCACTGTACGCCGCGCCACTGCTTCCTCCAGTCGCCCATCAGTGGACCTTGGGCTGCTTACACATCCTGGCAACCCCGGCTACCCTTTTTTTTTTTAATCCTCACAGAGAATATTTTTTTCCATTGCTTTTCAGAGAGAGTGGAAGGGGAGAGAGAGAGAGAGAGAGAGAGAGGAGAAACATCGATGTGAGAGACACATCGATTGGCTGCCTCCTGCTCTCACGCAGGGAACAGAGCCTGCAACCGAGGTACCTGCCCTTGGCTGGAATTGAACCCAGGACCCTTCAGTTCGAAGGCCGACGCTATAACCACTGAGCATACTGGCTAGAAACCTGGCTATCCTTTAAACACTCTCTGTGGGCTTCCAGCACCCAGGGCAGACATGGTGCCGAGGAGGACTGACAGGGTAAGGTGGGCAGACCAGAAATGTGCAACCAGGCTACAAAGGCTCGGGGAGAGGAGACCGCTACTGGGTGACCTGGAGGGAGGAGGCGACTCACCCGCTCAGGATGACATTGTTGTCGAAGAGGTACACCTTAATGTGCTGCAGGCCAATGGTCTCGTTGAAGCGCTCAGGGATCAGGAGCCGCAGCAGCCCGCGGAGGTTCGGGGTGTGGAAGAGGGAGACACGGACCTGCTCTGGAAACCTCTGCAAGAGCGGGAGCAGCATCGTGCGGGAGTTCTTCCTACCTGAACACACGGGCAAGGATGTGAGAAGAGACAGGGGATTCACACCAGGAAAAACAGCCAGCCAGACAGCGTGGAACAGTCCACTGTGGGCCCACATTCATGGGTGCTGCCCACCCAAACCGGTCAGCCACCTGGTGCTGTTTCCAGCCAGAGGAGCTCTGGGCCAACCTCTGTTCTAAATACCTGCCAGCTCAGGGCAGGGTCCATGTGGTCAGTGCAGGAGACACCTACCGTGTCACCCACCAGCACGCATTCACCAATTCCTGGTCACCCCACCCACCTCCTCCTGGGGGTACCACTCCACCCCCACTCTTGGCACTTCAGCTCTGGGTACAGATAACTCTGTTCACCCTGGGCCCACACCTCAGCCCCACAGTGGGGGTGGGGCACCAGGCCTGGGATGGGCTGGCCCGTACACTTGGAGCCCTGATGTGGCCACGTGGAGCTCCGGTCTGACCACCAGGGCAGCAGACTCTTCCAATGGACCAGATGCCTTGATGAGAAGGGCCTGGCCATCAGAGGCCACCACACGGAGAATGAAGCCAGTCAAAGGACACAGGGCCAGGAGGTGGGTCCTGGTGACACACCCAAACCCCAAATCACACCTGCCTGAAGTCAGTCAGTCATAGGAGTCTCAACAACTCCTCCTGCTTGAGCTGTTTCAGCTGGGCTGCACTCACGAGCTGCAGAAGGAATCCTGACTCGGACAATCAGACCGTCCGGGGCCAGTGGACAACCCTCAAGCAGCCTTGCCCGTGCCCGAGGACAGGGAAGGCGAGTGTAATTTCCAACACAGAGGCTCTGACAGAGGGAACCCGGGGACCTACCTCTCGAGCCCCGCATGAAGTCCAAGAGAATGGACACCTTGAGGTCTGAAGGAAACTGTGCTTGGAGTGACCTTTCTAGGGTGCTTTCCAGACAGTCCACCTACCAAGAAACAGAAACGTAAGATAAAAAAGATGACTGTGTGTGTGCTAAGAATGAATCAAGCTGCTGGCAAACACCCCACTGTTCTCTCTGAGCACACCCCAGTCAGGGCACGTACCCAGGTTGCGGGTTCAATCCCTGGTCGGGGCACATGCAGGAGGCGGCTGATCAATGTTTCTCTCTCACATGGATGTTTCTCTCTCTTTCTCTCCCTCTCTCTTCCTCTCTCTCTAGAATCGATGAAAATCATATCCTCGGTGAGGATTTAAAAAAAAAAGTCTTAGCTCACAGACCACACAAAACAGGCAGTAGGCCAGGTCTGGCGAGCCCTGGACTGGCAGACAGAGTAGCTGGAAGACCCCGGTGCAGGGTGAGGGGGACACTGGCCAGCAAGGCTAGGCCTCTCCACTCCCTCCTCCCTGTCCTCCTGACAACAAGAGCAAGAGCTGGCTGTGAGACGGAGGCCACGAAAGGGCTGCTCTACGCCACCTCCAGGCGCTGGGCAGCTGAGGTCTAGAGGCAGCTCACTGCTCCCACCAGGACTTCCCCCCCTTAAACTTACCAGTTCCTGTTCCAAAGGACCTGTCCCCAGGTAGAGAGAGGCCATCACAACCCGCCTCTTGGCTGCCTTTATCTGCCCCTGGGAGAGGAGAGACAACTCAGAGCTCACATCACCATTTCATAGTGGCTGAGAAAATAGTCCTTTGACCTTGGAGGTAAACAACAGCCCAAGCTGAACTATTTTGATCCCCTAAATGTGTACGGTAACCCAGCAAATCAGGACCTACAATCCTCACTAAAAATAACCCACCTGAAAGTGAAGTACAATCTACTAGACACAGTGCAACAAGGAAGGGAGGAGGGTCTGTGCACAGGCCAGGGGACGTCCACACACATGGCTGAGAGACAAACGCCAATCACTGAGCAGAATGCAAGCCAAGATCCCCCCGCCCCACCACACACACCCCTGCGGGTGTGCACACGTGCGTGTGTGCAGGGCGTGCAGAACACACAAGCAGCACAGCCAAGGAGGAGGTGCGGCTGCAAATCTGCATGGCTAGAGTTTTACCATGAGCATGCCTCACTCTTGAAATGCAGACAGGTACGGAGACACATCAACAGAACATCCCAACATTCAAAGATGACACACTGCGTTAGTCCCAATAGCCACTGTCCTCTCCCTAGCCCTACTCCAGCCACTGGAGGACAACTGACCCCAAGCCCGGAAATAGAAGCAGCCACACCCCAGAGAAGGTGACTGAGGCAGCAAGAATGGCAGTACTGCCCAGGGCCCAGCTCTGGACAACCCACAGGAGGGCAAGGCCTGTGGGAGGGGGGCAGACTGAAAGCACGGCGCAGGCCTGCACTTCGAGCAAAAGGGGATTCGCACCCACAGCCTGCACTGTCAGGGGAAGAGGGGCATCTTCAAGGAAAAATACGCTGACACACCACTGGGAAAAGGCTACGTACAAGGGAAAAAGTCAAAAGAATCTCTAACTTCCCTTTGTTTGTTTTTTATTAAGATGGAAGCTTGTAGGGAAAGCGATCATGAAGAAAGAGAAGGGAAAAAAAACAGCCAGTAAGTCAGCAGGCAGTTGGGTTCCGGCACAGAACCCTGCACCACAGCCTGGGGACCGGGCAGAGCCCAGCTGCGCTCTCTGCCCAGGGAGCACAGGCCACTCTGCCTATATTGGGGAGGAACATCCCACTGGGTGCAGTATGTGCTGGAGTCTGCCCACAACCCGGCTCAGAAGGCAGGAAAAGCCAGGGCTCCTTGCCGGCCTGCTGGGCCCCGAGGCTCTTCCTGGCCTCGGCAGCCCCACCCACAGGGCAGGTGCACAGTGCAGCCCGGCCTCCTGGCCGGGG